CTCATGTAGCTCAGTAAAGGTTAGTTCTTACATCAGACAATTCTGTTACCATGTTTCCAGAAAAATAATTTTCGCCCAAAAGCCTTATTTATATAATGGAAGTTTCATAAATGTCAGGCAGAACAGACAGCAGATGCACTGCTGTGACAAATACCAAGTCCATGTACGAATTTCATGGTACTAATTCAATAGAGTATGTTATTAATTAACTGAAACAATTCCAGCGGCTTACGTGCACAGTCCTGCATGTGTTTTGTGCGTGCGTGCAAATATTTCTGAAGAGTGGTTTAGAACTCGATAGGGTAGAAAGTGCTATTCTAGAAGGTTCACATTAATGTTGACCTAACAAAGTACTGTCCTAAAGCAGCAGTGTTTCTCAACTGGTATGACAGTGGTCATTTGTGACTGTAATTACCAAGCCTGCCTATAATACAACATGGGAAGTATGCAGGTGATGAGAACTGTGGAGAATAAGGGAGGTGAAGAACAGAGTGAATGGGCAAGAACCCAGAAGATCCAGAGGAAATATAAGATAAAGGTATAGAAGTAATTTGTGCATGCCAGATGATGGAGGTAGGAGAGAGCATTTTTGTTGTGGCTACTGACTCAAACTATGCGGGACATCATCTTGACAAGAAAGCAAAAACAAAACACAGGGCCCCATTCCACAAGTTCAGTGGCTTGTTATATTTGAAAACTCCCTGGTCGCTGCCACAGAAAAAAGAGGGAAGAAGGATAAGCACAAGAAAACAAGCCGATTCCACACTTGCTTTCAGAAATGAAGAGGAACTCGAACAAAAAGTAAAAACGTTGAGCCAACAATAGCTCTGTCACACGGTTTTTAGATTTATGCAAGTGGGATGGAAAAGGTTGAGAAATAATGGATTACAGTATACGACAATATATTATATTTATAGTACAAGTCAGGCCAATATTGCTTTCTAACAGAACTTTTAACAAATACCATCAAAACAAGGTTTAAGTTTCTATACATGGCACATATTTCAGAGTCACTTGTGTTCTAGTCATTTCTTTATCTTTAAATGGCTGACATATTGAAATCCTCAGGCATGGACTTGGAGTCTTCCTAAATTGCTTGGCTTACCTATCAGGACTCAAAATGAGCAAAACGGGCTGCATTGCCTCCTATTATTTGTAACTTCACCTCATTCACTTTCTCAAAAATGTGTTGCAGGCAGGAAAAGAAAATACTGTATGAAACAACGTGTTCACCTAAAAATTCACCTCACAAAAAAATACACGCCGTCAAAGATCATGCCGTCAATAAGAAACGAAAGCTCAAGAGCCAAAACAACACTGAAACACCTTCTAAAAGAGCCGCTGAATCCTGGGCTTCAGCATTCCTGCAGCTGAAGGGGTACTAGCCGGTCTGGTAAGTGTGTCGGAACTGATGACTCCAGATCCTGCCAACTCCGGTCAGGATTCTGGGATAAACAAGCAATCTGCAGGAGCAATTACGCACATGTGGAATAACTCCAGAAGATAAAGAGCCAACCCATTAAGAACTTTGGACATGAAAGTGAAATCAAAATTCCTGATAACAAAAGGAGAAAGCAAGTTCTCAGGAAAACATAAGTGAGACAGTAATCTAGAGTCTGCATCCCGGACAAGTGGGAGTCCATAATGAGTCACACAAACTAACAGGCAACGCAACTGAAGGGAGAGGTCACAAAGTCACACTTACTCCCTTCTCTACACCCACCCTGTAAAAAAGTTTAGCAACATTTCTCTGGTTGCAAGTCCAGACAATCCAGAGTTCACAACAGCACCAAGAACTATACAATCATTGTTGGCAATACACAACTATAAATGGTAAGCATGAATGGATAAGGTATGACTGACACCTTTTTAGTGCCAGTTATTAAAACGTTTGTGTTGCAGGTGAGATTATCCGCAAATAATCTCAGGTATACACTGCACAAGAGCAACTAATACCATATATGCTTGTAATGTAGAAAGTGGATAAATCTGTCTCATCATCATATTAATAATGTGGTGTCTCCCAATAATCCCATCAAGACGTTACAAGCCTGAGCTGCAACAGACCCAAAACAGAGCCTTCAGATGCATCAGACTCCATAGCACCCAGATTAGATTTAAATTTTCCGCAAGAGACATACTGACAGTGATCAGACAGATAAGGATAAAAAGAAAACCAGTCCCAAGGCTGACATACGTCTTACAAGCTTTTCACCAAGATTTTATCAAACACTGCAGCAAGGTTTAGCATTGCAAGAACAGACTGCAAATAGTAATCAAGTTTTACAGAGGCTTCATTCCAGACTCAATACAAGTACCGTGGCCAAACGTCAACTGAAATGTCTCTTGCAAAAAATGACACCAGAAATAGTCATTAGGTTGTTGGCATCAACTTTTTCCCAATTACCGGATCATACGGATTCTCTGGCAATGGAAGAGGGTATCCAGTTCCTCATTTGAATTCCTCATGCAAATCATGACAACAAATTCAAGGTAATTTGGTGTTATTTGCATTTTGCCTTTTCTTTCCCCAGAATTAAGTACCCAGTTTTTTTGTCCTGGGAAGCAAAAAGCAAGCAGTTATGCTTTCATCCAATGCTGTAGATATTACTGTAAGTATAGCAGATTAAAAGTTTTTAATGACATGCAGAAAAGGCATACTGCACATAGTATGAAAGGTTAAGACGGACTAGTAGGCTGATTACTGTTTAAAGACCTTTATCCTGAGAATGCAATTATAGCCTTTACACTTTAAACTTTATAAACTGCTAATTCAAGCAAATCTTCCAGCTAGAAAGATAACGTTAAAACTGAAAGTCTAAGCAAGCCAAATGCCAAGGAGAGCTACGTTTTACAATTAGCTTTTATTAAGGAAGCAAGTGTTTGGTCACTAAACAAAACTGGAATATGACAAAAGGAGATTATTCCAAGTGATAGAAATAAGTCACAATAAAGGAGATCAGAGCACTAGCTTTCTTGATTGTTGTCTTCTCCTAGCGAATGAACCAGTCCACATGGATTTGAAAATAAAAGCACTTGTCCTGCATTAATCTAGCATTGCCCAGGTAAGTGCCAATGCTGAGAGGACAACAGCATCTAGTACTAGAACTGGAAGATTGAACATAGATTTATAGGTCTTAAGCCAAATGAGAGAAACTCATTGCCCCTTACAACACTATGGGGACTAACTATAACAGTCAAAATAGGACTCTCCATGAGAAGAGCTAGCAAAGAGTCTACACATCCAGTAGGGGGTTAAAGTTAAGGAATACTAAACATGAATAAAGTAATTTAAGGCAAGTTGGTGTAAATGGCAAGAGTAACTGTGCATACCAGTTAGCAGAGCCATTTTTTATTTTCTAACAGTTTTTAAGAGTTGTTCATGTCTGTTAGGAGTCAAAAACGCACAACTCTTTCCATACCTGAAACAAACCATTGACATCGAGCACATCAGACCAGCTGGGGGAAACATATACATCAATCAGAACTACTTATTATACAAGCTTTCAAACCTAGACTCGGAGGTTGACCAAAATAAAAACAGAGGCAACAGAAGAGTTACCGAAATAATGAACCTAAGAGAAAAGACAAAGCAAATGTTGTAATGCACCCTTTGACATATTATTGAATTATTTTTAGCTCTCACATTTAGTTTTTCATATAAAACTGTTAAAGTCTGCATTCAAGATATGATCGTGCAGATTTCTAAAATGCATATTTTTAAGGGTTTCAACTATTTCTAATACAACAAACGGGTCTAAAAACTCAAGCATTCTACAAAACTCATTGCATAGCACTATTAATAAAATAAAGAATACAAAATAAAATATGGATGTACATGGTGTGGACACACATCCTTATCTGAACTACCTTCTGTACGAAAATCATTTGAAACAGAACTAGATCAATTAGACATAAACCAGCATATGAAAGATGAGTTCAGACTATTTACACACAATTCACTGGGAAAGAAACAATATAATTTTGTTAAACAATAACATAATTGTTGGGAATAATATTAATGAAATGCAAAAAAAAAATGGTGTAGGAAAAGAACAGGGAAATGTTTGGTTTATTTGGGGAAACAATATTATTATGCTCCAAATCCTAGATTTCTAAAGGGTTAAAATGTGAAAGAAAGACGTTTATAGTATTATCAATGATAATAAACAAGCTTGCAAAACTTTCATCTCAGAGGGTCCCAGTTCATACAAATCAATTAACGCAATGTGTTCACAGCAACAGGAAATTGTGATCTCAAGGTAATGCTACAAAAACCGCAATTTCAGCTTCAAAGTCAGTTCTTGGGTGCACCTCGACTCAGAGTAACACCTTTCCTCCCTCTTGCCTGTATTATTTCCCGTTAATACTGGAGGTTTTTTTTTCCATAAAGTTCCCCTGTAGCACATTAACAACCTCCTGTAGCAAATTAATAATCTAACATTACTGTCGTCTAATTTTGTCTCTATTGCACTACAGAAATAACGAAAATATGGAAATAATCGTAATCGTGTCTACCGTAAAAACATTGTGACGGGTTAATAATAATGACTGCTAGTAGAAATAAAAACAGAGAAATAAAGTAGTGCAATTTGAAATTATACCAAGTATTCACTAGCTGATTGTACTCGAACATCTTTGCATTTGATTCATTTATAGGAAAGGAAAATAACAAAAAAAGCTACATATTTTAAACTGCTGTATTTAAGGCAGTCTATGCAAATATTAAAACATCCTCCCTAGATACAGTGACAGTGACAAATACATATTTGTACAGACAGAGCCTTGGCATTCAATAAATGAACCAGCTCTACAAGATCAGTAATGTGGCAGTAAGCACTGAGCAAATACCCGAGGTAGAACTGCTGACTTAGTACGACTGCATTTCTGCGAGACAAAGGTCTTGAACGTTATTTTCTGAGCCCATCCTTCTTTATCGTAATAAATACGTCTTAAACACGAATCCCATCTCGTTTAAGGGGCTATAAAGCTTGTCTTACCTGTCCCGAGTATCACAACATCAAACTCGGACGGGAGGTTGTCTGCAGCCATCTTGAAGCCAATGTCACGTGACTCCACCGCACCAGAAATGACGTTTCCTGTTTACACATGTGCATTACCAACGCGGAGAACACATGCTTTTCCAGTGGACAAACAGGCAGGCGTTGTGATACTGTTCTTAGGCGTTACCAGATATGACACTTATCGCAGGGTTTTAGAAATGAAGTGGTGTAAATAATGTACACCAAGATTGGATTCCAGAACTCCTGGTTACTCACGGTTTCAAAATGCAGTGATATGCATATACAACTGACGTGCTGTGAACAGGAGTGACTGTTTCAGAGATGTTGCGGTTGCTGTACAGTATATCCAAAGTTAAGGTAGATATCTGATTAACTCATTGGGGTGCATTAAATCAGAGCCGATACAGATCAAATCCAGCGAAGTATATTCAGACAGAAGAGAACTTCCTTCAGCTAAAATGACCAGATATAGGCATGACAGGGTGAAAATTAGAGGAGTATAATTCAAACGTTAAATCTGTCATACTTTTCACACAGGAGCATTAAACATTTCATCCACAATATAGCCATATGAAAAAATATTCCATTCCATATGAATTTAGACTTTCTAGTGCCCAGTCACGGTGGCACTGTGGTACAATGGTGGCCATTGCTGCCACACGGCTGGTGGGACCCGGCCGCTGATCCTGTGGTGTGCATGCTCTGTGTAAATCTGTCTAAAACTAAACTTTTTAAAATAAAATCCAAAGAAATGAAAAAAATATATAAATTCTCCTTTCTTTGCGTCCATATATTTGTGTCGCTCGGTCTTCACTCCTACTCACTCTCGTTCTCTGGCTCCAAGTCCGAGTCGCCATTGAGCTTCATTTCCACATTCATCTCTTCCTCCTCTCGGGGCCCTGGGTTCAATTCTGGACCTGGGGTGCATCGATTCGTATGTTTTCCCCATGTTTGTGTGGGTTTCCTCCCATGGTGCAATAACATACTGTTGGGATTAATGGCTTCGGCAAAAACTGGCCTTGGTGGAATGTGTTTGTGCCTGTGTGTACCCGCTGGGGGATTGACATCTCTTCCTGGGTGTCCCCTTCCATGCACCTATTGCTTGCTGTTACAGGCTCCTTAACCCTGATCTGAAAGAAGCTGTAAGGAAATGGATGCGGTCTGTTCTAGTATCCTAACAGGTGAGTGGCAGGTCCCTTTAAGAATGGGCTGCTGTTATAGCTGCCCTGACTCTAGAGGCCGCTATGTAGCCTCTAATTTGTATAAATAGCCACACAGGGAGTAAATAATAATAATAATAATAATAATAAAAATTGCTTACACTTATAAGCACTTTACAGGTCATGGGGTAATGGGGACTCCCCTCCACCACCACCAATGTGCAGCATCCACCTGGATGATGCGACGGCAGCCATAGTGCACCAGAACGCTCACCACACATCAGCTGGGAGGAGAGCAGAGTAATGTAGCCAATTCATAGAGGAGGATTATTAGGAGGCCATGATTGGTAAGGGCCAATGGGAAATTTGGCCAGGACACCGGGGTACACCCCTATTCTTTTCAAGAAGCACCCTGGGATTTTTTATGAGCACAGAGAGTCAGGACCTCGGTTTTATGTCTCATCCGAAGGACGGCGACTGTTTACAGTATAGTGTACCCGTCTGGTAGGAGACAGTTTATGCAAAGGCTAAGTGTCCCATCCTCTTCAAAGTGCCAAACAGAGGAGTCAAGCAGCTTAGCTAACAGAAGACGTCTCTGAGGGAAGCAGGATGTTCATTCAGATCAGTGGAGCTTGCAGCTGTCTGGTGCAGCACCAGGTTGGCGTCAGTGTTTGAAGTGGCAATAAGCGCTAGTATGCACCTTCTTTTTTTTAAAGTGGAAGGTGCAACATTAAGGATGTTGCTGCTTACATGACTTTAATCATTATAACATTATTAAGCTATTTCTTATTTTTGTTGCATTTTTATTAGATCTTGGGTTTGGAGTTGCTAATGTGATAGTTTTATGATGATATAAATAAGGCCTTGCACCAAACATGCACGTAAGAAAAAAGAAATTAAGATAAATTAAAAGGCGTTTTTGCATTTTCATGTGAATTTTTTTCCTAAGGGTATGCATAGGTTTTTTTTAACATCAGTCTCAAAATTTTGAAAATAAAGAAATGCCCAAATAGTTAATGCAGAAGATTGATGTAAAATCCATGATTCAGGATTCCACTCTCCAATTCAGCTCATGAACAAGAAGGGCAAGCAGTGATCAAAATATACGAGAAGCAACTGATATATACTCTGTTGCACAAGTCTGACATAAAGTCCATTTTATTGAATCCTCACTCATAAATACCTTATAAACCATCCTGAGCATGAATTTGATTTTTCAGGAACATTATTTTTCCCAGTTTATTTGTGTTCCGCAAAAGTACAATTTCATTTAACTCCAGATTGAATTACGTTTTTCTCACTTCAGCCCAAATCGTGCTCACTACCTTTGCTTCCCATGGCTCTATAACAGTAATTAAGTCATTCTTTATTATTTATTTAACATGCTTCTTCATTGTTTAAGCTGTTGTTTCATGTTGTCTGCAACTGACTGCATCAACTGTTTCCTGTTCACAAATGGAAATTTGCTGCCTTATTTATCATTTAAAAATCATTTGTCATATTCATCCTAATTTTGTGACTTTCCTGATCCCGGCCTTTTGTTCTGTGACATAAAGGGTCTGACAAAATATTAATCTGTTCAAAGTCTAAATCCCTCAATAGAGCAGATTGCATTTTTTTTTTACTAATTAACGTGTCAGCAAGCCCCTTGAAATGGTAAAGAAGGGAAGTCTGTTTTAAGAGATCATGTTTACATCCAATCATACTGTAACAGTATGGGGTTCAGGTGAGCACCCTCGCCGCTGCCGCATCAGGTCAGCCCCCCACCGTCGGGGACTCAAACCCAGGCCTCCGGTGTCACACAACAGGGACCCAGCCTCTTGAGCCAAAGGGAAATCTCCCGTCAGCCCAGCAGCTGCGGTCCCTGCTATCCACAGGGAAGGGGGTGATGTCACCGCTCTGGTAAGCCAGCTCTCGCAAGCAATGGAGGCCGTATGCGTTACACTCTCCCCTGCTTAACTCACCCTCCTCAGCAAGGGGCTATCCCACCCCACTGCTGACACCAATGTAACGCTACAGGGTTCACGTGGGCACCCTCACCGCTGCCACATCAGGTCAGCCCCCCACCATTGGGGACTCAAACCCAGGCCTCCGGCATCACTCAACAGGGACCCAGCCTCTTGAGCCAAATGGAAATCTCCCGTCAGCCCGGCGGCTGCGGTCCCTGCTATTCACAGGGAAGGGCAGTGACGTCACCGCTCTGGTAAGCCAGCTCTCGCAAGCAATGGAGGCCATATGCGTTACAATACACTAATTAGTTCACTGTAATTGATTACCTTTTGTTTTTTTAAATTTGTAACTTTTTAAAATGGTCTCCCTCAACTTCTTGTTAACTTCTAAGTAACCCCCTGCACAAGTAACTGTACCAGATCAATTTTTCCAGCACTTTTGCTATATTGTTGAAGTCCGTACCAGCAGTCAATCAGGGTAATTAATAGAAATAATATTCATGTCTGATTTGTTTGGTTCTGTCTGGACTTGTTTGCGGATGGTGGTTGATTTTGTTCAGACACAAAGTCGACTTGTGAATTGCACGTTTGTTCTGTGTACCCTTTCATATCCCTCTCTCATTTTGTCCGTCTTTGAAAATTCTCGACTGCTCCAGAAAGCTAGAAAATTAACTTGTGTTTTTATTTTGAATGACTGTTCCTATTCTGTGGGTAGGTGGTAAAAAAATCCTTAAAAATCCTTATAAAAAAGGGAAAGGACTGAAATACAGGTTGCTTGTACACTCTGAAGGCATAGGACACGTGATGTTTAAGACTTTCCTCTGTTGGGATATACAGTATGGGAGTTTTGTTTTTCTTTTATGTTTAAAGGATAAAAAAAACTCCACATTTTAAATTTCATGGTTCCTTGATGGGGTGTGTTGATTGAAAACACAAGATGCGAATACTATTATGCATAGTAAAACTTAACATAATTATTCATGGTTTGTGTTGGCAAGGCGTACTGCCAATTTTTAAATTAATTCCAGTGCGTATGTTAAGAGAGGAACTGTTGAAGATTATAAATAACATACAATGTCTATAGCCACCTGTGATACATGGTTACAGATCTGAGAGATAAATTAGATCAGAAGACTTTTAACCATATAAGGAGTGTTAACCCAGGCAAAGTACATGGTATTATGTGCAACATACTGCTCATTTCCTTGTGGAAATTGTCTAATTGCAATGGCATGAATTTTTTTAACCTGAATGTATCCTGAATGTATGATGATGATGATGATGATGTTATCCGGTCAGTCAAGATCCGACTCTCGGCGATTCTATAGGCCATCTCTTGCCACACTTTCTGGTCTTGGACTTTCTCTTTCAGCTGTTCTATGCCTAAGCCAGTGTCTGTTTTGATGGCGTCGAGCCACCGCGTTCTTTGGCAGCCTCGTCTTCTCGTTCCACTGACCATTCCAAGCATCATTGCTTTCTCCAATGAATCTGATCGCATCACGTGACCAAAATAAGTGAGCCGGAGTCTGGTGATCTTTCCCTCAAGCGACATTTCTGGCTTGATGCGCTCCAGAACCTCTTTATTGGTGACCCTTGCTGTCCATGGTATCCGTAACAGTCTTCTCTAGCACCATAACTTGAAAGCATCCATCCTCTTTCGGTCAGCTTTTCTCAGGGTCCAGCTTTCACACCCATATATTGATATGGGGAACACAATAGCATGGACCATTTTGCATTTGGTTGTGAGGCTGATGTCTTTGCTCTTCCAGATTTGGTGCATGCTCAGCATCGCACTACGGCCTAACGCAATTCGTCGCCTGATTTCAGGGCTGCAGTCTCCAGTTCGGTCGATCATGGATCCCAGGAAGCAGAAAACCTTGACGCATTCGATCTCTTCAATATTGACGGTTATTTTGACTGCTCCATTTCCAGCTGTTGTCATGAT